TTAAAAACACTGTCAATGGGTTTCTTTTTTGCTTTCTAAGGTGCTGCTTTACGCTGGCAGATCTTTATAGCTTGTTGGATTTTTCAGTGTCAAAGGAAATGATAAAAAAAATCATTTAAATTGTTTTTTAGCTTGCTTTTTGAAGGATAATTCAGGCACTACCAACCTTGGAATCATGTTTTTTTTTTTTTTTTTTTCTAGAGTTGGGATTCTTCTGTCTTCTTCTAAGGCAATTATGAATTATAAGTTTTTCTGATACATAAATTTGTAACCTCCTTTGAACCATGAAAATCAAAGCTGTAACAGCCACCCAAAAACTCTGGTTTCTTGCTCTTTCCTCTCAGTCTTTGTTTGAGAGCAGTTAAAGAAGCTGTGCTGATTTGCGGATTGTCTCACATTTGTCAAAAAGTGGCCTTTTTTCTTCCTCTACTTCTCCATTATAGGTGACTGTCAATTGGGGCCTCCCTGGAATAAGGAAACATAGTCAAATATTTGAGGTTCATGTTCTAAAATTGCTTGCTTTTTTTATTTTTTTTAAAAATTTCTTGATTGGTTTTGGCTATTGTGTTTTGTTTGATTTTGTGTTTGTTTTTGATCTATACTAAGTGAGAAATGTCAGGACAGAAACAAGCAGAGGAAGCAATTGTTCCAAGCCTTAAGAAAGAGGAAGAGAAGGGAGATGATTCCATTTTCAGTGATAAGAGCCTTCTTTGGCATGGTGGTTCTGTTTATGATGCGTGGTTTAGCTGTGCTTCGAACCAGGTACTAAAATCCCAGCTCAAGATTGCAATCAAAGTAGGGTAAAAACTAGTTCTTTTTTTAACTGATAACGCTACCCTGGTGGGATTGCAGATGGCTTTAGTTCTGTTAACAATGCCCTATTCTTTCTCTCAAATGGGAATGCTTTCAGGGATTATTCTGCAGATTTTTTATGGTGCTCTTGGAAGCTGGACTGCTTATCTGATCAGTGTTCTTTATATTGAGTACAAAAGCAGAAAGGAGAAAGAGAATGTTAGCTTCAAGGACCATGTCATAGAGGTTAGCTTTTCAAGATCAATATGACCCTTTAAAAACTAAAATTTCCACTTCAAATTTCTAATTTCCTTCTTTCTTCAATATAATAATTTTTTTTTTAACATGCGGTGGTTTGAAGTGTTAGATGGTCTATTGGGACCTTACTGGAAAGCTGCTGGATTGGCTTTTAACTGCACTTTTTTGCTCTTTGGATCTGTCATTCAGCTTATAGCCTGTGGCCAGGTCCATTTCTTTAATTTATGCCTACTTTTCTCATTAAATTCTCAACTTTGATGGATTAATCAACTGATTTCTGATGTTTTATGAGTTGATTACAGCAATATATATTAAATAAATGACTAGTTAGACAAGCGGACATGGACTTACATCTTTGGAGCTTGCTGTGCCACCACAGTGTTCATCCCCACGTTTCACAACTATAGAATCTGGTCTTTTCTGGGGCTTGGCATGACCACCTACACTGCATGGCATTTGACCATTGCAGGCCTTGTCCATGGCACGGTAAAAACAAAGAAATATGGTTCTGAATTCTAATCTTTCCTCAGTTTTTGATTTAATCTCAAATTTTTTTACCTTCTTTTTTTACAGTTGGAAGGTGTAACTCACCAAGGTCCAGCCAAATTGGTTTTGTACTTCACTGGCGCCACCAATATCCTCTATACTTTCGGCGGACATGCTGTCACTGTGTAGGTGTTCTTATTATTACTACAGTTCCAAAAGAAAACAAAAATGTTACCTTTGGTCACTTTTGACCAGACTGCCACGTCGGTTGAGTAAAGCTGAGTTTTGGACAAATCTTGATGTTTACAGTGAAATTATGCATGCAATGTGGAAGCCTCAAAAGTTCAAGTACATATATCTATTGGCCACCCTATATGTATTCACCCTAACAATCCCATCGGCTGCTTCCGTCTACTGGGCTTTTGGTGATCAACTCCTTACTCATTCCAACGCCTTTTCACTCCTTCCACGCTCTGCCTGGCGTGATGCGACAGTTGTCCTGATGTTAATTCACCAGGTTTGTTACAGGCCAATCTTTATGCTATCATACAGTCCTATTGGATTATTGAAGCTGACATGATCAAAATTGTTTTGGCTTCCAATTTCACAGTTTATCACATTCGGGTTTGCCTGTACGCCATTGTACTTTGTGTGGGAGAAAGTGGTTGGGATGCATGAGACAAAGAGCATATGTTGGAGCCTTTGAGGGCAGTATGCAGGTTACCTGTGGTGATACCAATATAGTTCCTGGCTATCATATTTCCTTTCTTTGGTCCCATTAACTCGGCTGTAGGATCTCTTCTGGTCAGCTTCACTGTCTACATCATCCCTGCCTTGGCTCATATGCTCACTTATAAATCAGCCTCTGCCCGACAGGAAACCTTTCAGACCCACCATTTCCAAGCAAACCTGTTGTCTTATTCTTGTTCACATCAAAAGCAGATCAAAACAAGAAATTAACCTTGAATTCTTGTGTGAGCAGAATGCAGCTGAGAAGCCTCCTTTGTTCCTCCCAAGCTGGACAGCAGTGTATGCAGTGAACAAATTCATTGTGATATGGGTCTTTGTTGTTGGCTTCAGATTGGGAGGTTGGGCTAGCATGACAAATTTCATCATGTAAGTCGATACATTTAGGCTCTTTGCCAAGTGCTACCGGTGCCCACGCTCACCATCTTCATAAGCAAGTTTGATTTACAAGAAAATAATTCTAAGAGAAAAAAGATTCTTAAAAAATAAGTTTGTAAAGATTCTTAAAAGATAAGTTTGTATGATTATAAATAAATGAAGTATCTACAAAATTAGATATGAGAAAAAGATGTAAGAGAGTTGTAAGATTTTATGGGATAGATACCTCATAGTAGTATTGGGGCTTTATGTTTTATGGGTGTGTATGTTTATTTGTGAGTGGATTAAAAGAGATTGAGAATGTCCACATAGGTATGATGTATGAGTGCATATGAGTATATGTTCGATTGCGTTGACAATGTGCATATAGGTATGTGTTTGTTTAAGTTGAGAATATTCCATAAGACTAGAGAAGATTGAAAGGGTTTATGGGTATTGATTATTGAGTGATTGATACGTTTTGATGTATGTTTGTAATTTTCTATAATTAGTGGATCTTGTTTTTCATCTGTGGACGTAGGTTAGTTGGATCGAATCACGTTAAATTATTGTCTCTTGTGTAATTGATTGTTGATCGTTTGATTTTGCTTCTACTGGCTTGATTGGATTGAGGTTTTTTGGCTTAACAAGTAGTATTAGAGCTGTGATGATCTCTAACAAGTGGTATCAGGCCAAAAATTCGAAATGCGGGAAGAGCTGAAGGTTCTAGATGTGGGAAGAGATAGAGGTTCGAGACATGAGAAGAGGCAAGCTTAGAGTAGCACGATTTAAGAAAGAAGTTCGAGTTCGTATTTTGAAAATCGATTTGCATGAAGCGTAAAGGCACACAATAGAAGATGATTATGAGACTTTCATTACAAGTAGAGCCAAGCATGTCTTGATATGCGTTTATTTAAATTAAGAATACTCTGTAAGACTAGAGAATATTGAGGAGGTTTATGAGTATTAATTATTAAGTGGTTAATATATTTTGATCTATGTTTGTAATTTTTTACAATTAGTAGATTTTGTTTATCATCTGTGAACGTAAGTCAATTAGATCAAACTACGTTAAATTATTATCTCTTATATAATTAATTAATTATTTAATTTTATTTCTGCTGATTTGATTGGATTGAAGATTTTTGACCTAACAAATAGTTGTATTTCCTCGATATCTATATTTTGTCAAGGGTAGCAACAGTAATCTTTTTAGGCTGGTGTTTCTTCACATGGCTTGTACATTGGCTAGTTTCTCTCTTGAAACCCAAATCATGTAATTAACAATTTGTAATCTCATATAAAAATTTCTTATTCACATGAACCGGCCACTACAATGTCCAATTGTTCAATGTGTTAGGCTTGCGTTCATTTTGAGTTTGCTCATGAGTTAGGGGTTTTTTATTTTTAAATAAAAAAGGAGGTAATTTTAAATAAAAAATGAGATTATAGATATTTAAATTTAAATTTTATGTTTATCGAATATCATTTGATTATATGATTTAATTGAATTAAATTTTAAGTGCAGGATGAATTTTCATTTAATTCAAATAAAAAATCTTTAAAATTCTAATGATGACGAGGAAGATTTTATCTACTTAACATCAGCCATCGACAGTTCTAATTAACTGTCAATAAAACATTAATGAGTGAAAAACATCATACGACTAGATCTCCATCTGCTGTTTCAGATTGAAACAGACAAGTTGTTAGTTTTGCATCCATATCGAAATAAAAGTTTAATAACATGTAACATATCTGTATATTCTGCCATGTCCAGAAGAGAAAATAATTGTGTTTTCTGATTAGTGTTATGGTACCCAATCATCCCAAAACCACAATGAAATAGCTACAACATGGGGGCATGAGATCAGTCCTTCAAACTGATTTTTGTCATTGAAATGCAACTTTTGATAGTATTTTTTACATGTTCACTTGAAATATTAAAATAATTGTAAAGGTGAAAAGAAAAGACAAAAGGATCAAAAAAATTTTAAATTAAAATGCAATAATTATCTAAGTTTTTATTTTTTTAATTAATTAAATCTTTAAATATTTATTTTCATTAATTAAATCTTTATTAAAAAATAATTAATTAAAAAATAATTAATTATTTTTATCTAACTAAAAATTTAATTGAATGAATATATATAAAAATTTAATTAAATGAAAATAAATTTTAAAAATTTAATTAATTTAAATAAAAAAATTCAAAACTTAATTGATCATAAACTTAAATGATTATTAAATTTTTATTTAAGGGTATTTTTATTATCTAAAAAGCAAAAAAACTATTTAGATATGTTCGTCAAAAAGGTCCCCACTCAAAATAATCCACGCAGTTTCTAATACACGTGTCATTAAATGATTGGTCTATCTGGTTTCGCCTTTCAATATTCAGACCTCCCAAAAATATCGGTCTCGCGGGTTCTCCTTCGAAGCAACGAACAATAAAAAAAACAAAAGGGGGATAAGACTCCAAAGAAAATCCAAACTCTCTTTTAAAATCTGCGATTCAATTTTCCAATGGAATTGGAGCTTCGTTTGAATTAAATTTTCTTTTTTTTTTTGAGAAATTAGGATTTAAAAAAGAAAAAAAAATGAATATTGCAGCAAGTTTTCGCGGGAACTTTGGTGTCTTATCTCAGTGTAGCTCTTGTTGTGATCTTCGGTTTCAGCCATTGTTATCTTCTCCAACTCTTACTGAGTCGCAACGCTGTCGTTTAAGGAACTTGAAGCTTTCCCAGCTCTCTAGGTAACTTTTTTTTTTTTTATTTTTAAATTCTTCTAAAGAAGAAAATCTATTAAATTAATTTTTTTATTATAGATTTTGCAGGAAAAGAGGGATTATTTGTAGAGTTACAGAGACAGAAACTGAACCAGATAGTAATAATGATAAGGTAATTGTTTTAATTTTATCACAGGAAAAAACAAGGTTTTTTTTTTTTCTTTTTTTATGATAAAATTTAGAAAATATTGCATTTTTATTGATAAATCTATCCTAGAAGTTATGAGTTATGTGTTAAAGCATTCATCTTTTTGTGAATGAACACATCCATGTGATAGTTTTGCAATATTGAATCCACTTAGCATTTTTTTTTGGAGAAAAAAAAAAGAAATGTTTTTGATTTAAGATGTTAAATGCTTGTAGGAGAAAGCAGAGCATGATGGTGGAGATAAGCTTGCTACTACTAATTCTGGGGAGCAAAATGGTTCCCAGATCGATTCGCAGCCGATGAATGTTGAGCAAATAAACAATAATGATGAAGAGATTAAAGCTCAAGGTGGTGTCCAGGTATAAATTTCTATTCTGTAATAATATTTGTATGGCAATGGAATAGGGCAATATACATGTTACACCCCAATCCCACATTGGTATAGTATATAAGTTGAGACTAAAATCCATACTTGTGATGTGCCTTTTGTGAGATAAAACCGTGAGATTTTCGGATTAAAGTGGACAATACCTCCCAAGTTGGGTGTGGTATTCACAAGACAAGCCCCTAGGTTACTTGGTTCTCAAAGCTTCTATATTTGACTTGATATTTAATACCTGCAATGTGAAGTATTTTAGTGCATTAATCCTACATTGAGCTGCCATTTTTACAATCTGCAAATCTGCAAAATGCCAATTCATAGAATAAGAGGTTGTCTGTTCTAAGCTCTGGCTCATACTTTTTTTTGTTTGATTTTTGGCTTTGATTTGAAGAGGAATGACTTAGGTATTAGCTTGCTTGACCTTTATTAAATTTTGTGTGTGTTTGACACAGGAGGATGATGATGTTGAAGTTACTAGTGGATCGCCTCTGCCAGGTGTGAAGGTGATCATGATGCTGTATCACTTCCTAGACTGGAATTTACAAGAGAGGTCTTCTTTTCCTGCTTCTTCTTTTACATCTTCCCATGTTTCCTGAACAGCCACAGCAACTGGATGAATCAATGAGGATTACGAAGGAAACCATTGACATTCTAAAGGATCAAGTATTTGCATTTGATACTTTCTTTGTGACAAGCCAGGAACCATATGAGGTGAGTTAGCAATTTTGATAGCTCGAGGCTTCCTTAATCCTTCCTTTTTCTTTTAAGCATCTATCTGAGGGGCCAAAATCAAATGAAGTTGCCTTGTAGGAACCTTCTACAATTTATAACATATTCAAGGAGATAATAATCTTTACAAACATAGTTATAGATTGAATTTCTCCTATGGATGGGTGTTATATTGTTCTTGGGAATAAGATAAAAGAAAACCATTAACAAATTTATTTTCTCTTTTTTCCCAACTCTGGGTTTTAATTGTCTTATTTATGTTCTTGTTTACTTTCATTTTGTTAGGGTGGAGTGTTGTTCAAAGGAAACCTGCGAGGACAGGCTACTAGAAGTTTTGAAAAAATTTCTATGAGAATGCAGGTATGCTTACTCTGTTTCTTCCATTGTATTATTCTGTAGGCTAATGACTGATTCTTTATTCAGTTTTCTCTACATCAATATACAGAACAAATTTGGCGATCAATATAAGCTTTTCCTTCTTATCAATCCAGAAGATGACAAACCAGTGGCAGTTGTTGTTCCAAAAACGACTTTGCCTCCAGAGACGACCGGTAGTTGGCTTGGCTATGCTATTTTGTCAGCAAAGTTTATTGTTGTCATACTCCTAAATCCCTGTCATTGAAACTAAACAAATGTTTTGCAGCGGTCCCTGAGTGGTTTGCAGCTGGGGCTTTTGGTCTGGTTGCAGTGTTTACATTACTTCTTCGGAATGTGCCTGCACTGCAGTCCAACTTATTGTATGATTTTCTATCAATTTTCACTCTGACATCCTCAACAAATATATTAACTGTGGCTTCTTCTTGTGATCATAATCAAACCATAACCAAGACTAAAATGCTCTTGTTCAGACTGTTTTCCCTACTGGGGATATATTTTTAGACTTATAGCAAGCTCAAAATTATTCGACTGGTCACTGAGTTATTCAGTTTGAGTATTTTAAGATGGCATATAGTACATTACACTTGTCACTGTATATTTTTATTCCTTTTGGCTCATATCTGTCCTAGCTTTATTGACCAAAGAGTCTTCATTCTTCTTCGGTCTCACTCTATCTTCCTCTTTTGTAGGATGGACTCCTTTCTATCATCATTATATTTCACTAGTACAGTTGGTTCTTGTAATTAGAAGTTTATGTTGATATGATTTCTGATATTTTGCTGTGCTTCCTTTTTCTTTGAATTATAAGAATTTTCCATCGGATCATTCAGTTTGTCTTATTGTATTACTACCAATTGTATTGTTAATGCTCCAGATCAATATTTGACAATCTCAACTTGTTATTGGATGGTCTACCTGGAGCCTTTGTTACTGCACTGCTTCTGGGGGTACATGAATTGGGCCACATCTTAGTAGCAAAGAGCACAGGAGTTAAGCTTGGTGTTCCATTCTTTGTTCCCAGTTGGCAGGTGATATATATGGTTCTCTTCACTAATCCTTTGTTTAAAAACAATCCACTTCTGTTTTCTCTCTCTTCAGTTCCTATTCGTTGGTACCTTACCTCTAGAAGGGAATCTTCGTTGCGACCTAGTGTGGAAATCCTAAATAAGAGCATGACCTTAACCTCTCTCTTTATATTAACATGAAATGTATATGGCAAAAGCACACTCCATTTGGATTTCAAACTTTTCTTTTCTATGTAGATTAGTTACCAATCCCATAAGTGTCTGTGCTTTCTTTAAGTGGAGCTCATAAATAGTTACCCTGAAGGAATTTGTACGACAAACAGCCTTGTTACCAGTATCAATTATGACTGTGGTGCCTATTTATAAATTCGTAAATTGTGACCATTTCCCTTATTTTTTCTGATCTATTTGATTTTTTATAAAAATGCGTGCTTCAAGTCTAATGGACTGCTTTGATGGCAGATAGGCTCTTTTGGTGCCATAACAAGGATCAAAAATATTGTTCCCAAGCGTGAAGTCCTTCTGAAGGTTGCAGCAGCTGGACCTTTAGCTGGCTTTTCCTTGGGTTTTGCCTTATTCCTTCTAGGCTTCTTCTTGCCACCAAGCGATAGTATTGGAGTTGTTGTTGATGCTTCTGTGTTTCACGAATCATTTCTTGCTGGGGGTGTAGGTAAGCACTTCTGCCTTCAGAGATGGGTCGCGTTCATATACATACATGTCTGAATGGTGATAGGTCTTCTCATGCATTACTGTTTTTTTTCAGCATTCATGTTATCATTTGACAGATGCTTTAGCTTCTTCAGGTCAGAAAGACATTGTCTGATTGTAGGATTTCTCTCCTTTTTCAGCAAAGCTTCTTCTAGGTGATGTACTGAAGGAAGGCACTCCTATATCAGTTAACCCACTTGTAATTTGGTCATGGGCTGGACTTCTCATCAATGCCATCAACAGCATCCCTGCAGGGGAGCTAGATGGGGGGCGAATCTCCCTTGCAATATGGGGAAGAAAGGTACTTCATTTCATGTAAAAACAAATAAAATTTTGCACAATTCTCATGCCATTTTTTTGGATTTTGAACGTATTGTGGAATAACAAAGAGTTAAAATTAACCAATGCCTTCCACCTTAACCACTAGTTCCACCTCTTAACCTAGTGGTTAAGAGGGTTTGCAGAAGGCATGTGAGCGTGGGTTCTAACCCTGCCATCCCCTTCCCCTTGTAAAGGCTCTACCCTCATATGAAGAGTTAAAATTAACCAAGTTTCTAACTGGGCAGGCTTCATCTCGCTTCACATCAATCTCCATTGGGCTCCTTGGACTCTCTTCATTGTTCAATGATGTGGCATTTTACTGGGTAGTTCTCATATTTTTCTTGCAGAGGGGGCCAATTGCTCCACTCTCTGAGGAAATCACTGATCCTGATGACAAGTATGTTGCCCTTGGAGTTTTAGTTTTGATCTTGGGATTGCTTGTATGTTTACCATATCCATTCCCTTTCACATATGACTCCTCTAATACTGATTTTCAGTGATAATACACAATCAAACCTACCTTGGATTCCTTTCTGTGGATGATTTTCAGAGGAAATGGTCATGAATGATATACAAAATTACAAATTGTCTTGTAAAGTGGCTGTCATTACATGATAGTGATATAGAATGAATAATTTTGATATTGATGGCTAGTTATTTCTGAATTGTTTTTAACGATGGCGGATCTTGACGCTTGATTTCGGATTCAATCAAATATTATACTGGATAACTTTGCAAGACAGAATCTTCATTTAGGCTAACAGACAATTGCCTGGTTGCCTGGTCACAGGCTTAAAAAAATAGATTGCCAGCCATGTGAAAGTGACAGTGAATGTTGCTCTTAAATAATCAATGGTGAAGAAAAATGTAAAATCAAGTGAGCTTTGGACCCACCAAATCGAAGCATTCTTAAAAGCCAACCCTTTGATGCATCTTTCACTTTATAGCTTTCTATTTTAAAACTTTCATGCTTAATCTTGATTTAAAAAAAATAAAGAAATTGAAAATACTTATGTAATGTTTTATGAATATGTATATATATTTTTATCATGAATGTATCTAATAAAAAATTATAATGTTTTTGAATGTATATAAATTATGTATCTTAAAAACAGATTTTTTACTTAAATTATTAAGAATTAAAAATAGAAACTAGTTACACTGGAGGATTTTACATTAGTGGTTAGTGCATTTATTTTCGAATAAAATTTAAATTTGTTTTTTTAGAGGAAAGAATAAAAAATATTTATCTTGTTATTTAATTTAACATTAATGTATTTATTACTAACGAAATATGTAAAGGACATTTTTTTAAAAAAATTTGTTAGTAATTTTAGGTAAATAAGTAGAAAATCGAGTTTAATTTACTTTAATTAAAAATAAAAAATTAAATTAAAAAATAAAAAAACCATAATTTTCTTTTTTAAAAAGAAAAAGACAAAGTAAAAAACCAACTCAACAAAAATTCAGGATAAGTACAAAAATTTCAAAGGGTAAAATTGGAAATAAAAAATGTTTCTTCTTCCATGACATGCACACCTAGCCTTGCATTCTCTCCCCGACTGGTTCTTCAAGTCACCGGCTTCTCAAGTTCCGGTCACCAGCATTTCTTCCGCTCCAATTTGTTTCCGTACTGCACTCAAATGCAGGAGCTCTCTTTAAAGCTCTCCACTTGGTAAATTTAATTTATTTTTTAAAATAAAAGTCTTCCTTTTTTCTTGAACTGTTTGGTCGTTGAGAAAATGCGGGAAATTTGAAGACAATGTTGGGTGGCCTTTTTTTTTTTATATATGAAAGAGATGATTGAAGTAAAATGATGAAAGTGAACTGCTTTATTAAAAATAAATTAATGAGAAACTAATATAACATTTATTGCTAGTAAATAGTAAATTTTTTGGGGAGGCTTTAGTTTGAATTGTTCTGAAATTTTGAATAAATTTGGTTTCCCTTCCGTTTGGTTACTGAGAAAATGCGGGAAAGAGGGATTTAAGTTCTCAAAATTATTGTTTTATTATGTTTTAGGCTCAATACAAGTGAAAGGTGACTTCTTTTTTGTTGGTTTGTTTTTTCAGTTAATGATGAAACCAAGTTTGTGGAGGCAGCCAAGAAAGGAAATTTAGTGCCCCTTTACCGTTGCATTTTTTCTGATCAGCTAACTCCGGTGCTTGCATACCGGTGCTTGGTTAAAGAAGATGATAGAGAGGCTCCAAGTTTTCTTTTTCAGTCAGTGGAGCCTGGTTCTCCGGTTTCAGGTATTGTAAGAGCTTTAACTATATCCTTAATTTTTTTTTTATATGCAGGGGTATATTAAGTTTATGATTTTGATTCATATTGGATTTTGATTGTATTAGGGTCGTTACAGTGTGGTTGGGGCTCAACCGACAATGGAAATTGTGGCGACAGAAAATAAGGTTATGGTTATGGATCATGAGGAAGGGTGTTTGACTAAGGAGGTCATGGAAGATCCAATGTGGATTCCTATGAGAATCTCTAAGACTTGAAACCCCAACTTATTGATGATCCTCCTGATGCATTTTGTGGTTTGGTCTTTTGCATGTCTAATTGTCATAAATCTATATTTGATATGTTTTATAGTGATGGCATTATCATGATGGTTTGCATTTCTCATCATTAATCGTTATTAATATGGATCGATCCTGATCTTATAAGTGCATTAAAGCTCATGCCTTATTTTGATTGCCAATGATGTTTCTTAATTGGTTGCTTTGATTTGCTATTCTCAAATTAGGGAATGTCGATTAATAACTAGTTAGCCTTTGTCGCCTTGTTGGTAATTTAAGGGCTTATTTATTGTTTAATTACACTTGCAGAATGAGCCTTTGATATAGAACTTTTGTGTGTATTATTTTATTTTATACATTTGAATAAAAAAGGGGATGAGTTTCTTATTTTGGGTAGAATGTAAAATAATGCAATAATTCATGTTACCAATAATATTTGGAATGCTGATTCGTTCAAAATCGGTTTTCATATTGCCGTGGAAATGAAAAGAATAAAAAGTTAATATTCATAGTAATGACAAAAGATGATCATATGTCGTAAAACACTTTAAGGAAATTGAAAGATTTTCAACACGTGTAGCAATCTCAAATTCTTGTAATTATTTTGATTATTTTGACAATTATAATATGATCGGTTAGGTAGCTATATTTTTATGACTACAGATTGTTGTATAGCACAATAGAGATCCATGGTTATAATGATTTGCTAGCAGGTTTTATGGCTATAGTATGTTATATGTTGTGTATAGAGCACCATGTGTTTGCCATATGATTTTGGCACCCTTAATAAATGATGGGTGAATTAAGAAAGTTTAGGGGTTTGAGTGGTTCAAAA